ATAAATAATAATACAGTAGTTTAATAATACAGTAGTTCATAACTCGTAGGTTATATTGCGTGCTGGAAAGATGAAACACATAATGTATCAACGGTAAGCAATGATAACCGCTGGTAATCGTCTTGGTAGATTAATATTACAGTTGGGTGTGTGGCTTAGATTATGGTTACTATAGGCGAGCCCCGAGAAAGATTCGTTAATCGTAAAGGTATGTGTCCCCTAGTTCTAAGACCATACAGTTGGATGCCTGGTCATTCAGTCCCTTATTTGTCTACAAACATTGTACAATCTGTAATAACGATAATACAGTGTAGTGTATTCTTTGTATGTATTATAGCTGTGGATTAAAAAACGCCCCTTGCCGTATGGTATATGCATGACAAGTCAAATGTGAAAAATCGTTCTGTTTATTAATAAATATACATTGGGGTTATAACAGACCTTGCAATTGATTGTTAGTGTAAAACATGGATGAATTTCACTGTAATAATAAATATGAATAAGTAAATATCATAACAGTAACAATATTGTGTTTAAAGACGGATAAAGTATTTTTGTGACAGACGTGTCATCAACATTTTTACGGAATACCTATATACGATGTTTGAGAATACTAACTTGACGGTATTAGAAAACCAACCATGATCTGAATGTACTGTCGTGTTACGTAAATTAAATAAACTGATAAATTGAAAACATGCATAACGATAATCTTGTATTAGTATGGTACAGAAAAGTTGATAACATGTAATTAGTGTGAAAATTAGCTAATTAAACTGCAGACAGTTATAAACTATAATAATTATATAAAATGTTTAAACAAATTAACTAATTAATTTGCATACAAATAACATGCTAATTAATATGCACAGGATATTAAATAAATTTATCAGATGATCGACTCAAAACTATGCATGCACTTATTAAGTTTCAAGCCATTCGAGCAAGCTTTAAGATACAAACAAAACATAATGGAAATATCTGTAATTTAGCTAATTAAAATGAACAGATTAATTAGAAACAATTATCAAACAACCTGTACAATTAATGTGCATTTACCAGGAATCATTATGTCACACTGTTGTTGTGATACAGAATAAACAAGCTGAAATCAGTTAACTATTATGCAAATTAAGTTATAAATATTCACACATTAATTAAAAGCCGTTATCATGTAAGATCTACACAAACAACAATCACGTACTATGCGCATTACTTAATTAACATGCACAGATTTATACCAGAATCTAATTAGCTGCGGTGTTAATCATTTTATAGTAGCAGTCTACCTAGTTTTATTTCCATCCAGCCAGTGGATAATGAGATATCAGTAGTACAAGATTTTACATATATATACAGGCGGACGGACGAGCAAACAGACTTCTGTATGACATTACCTTCAGTGGGTTTGGTAACATTAAATATATCTACACATTAATTGGAGTGCGTACGTTATCTGGATAATGCTTATAAGGTTCAGATAACCCGTCTTGAATACTATATTGTCTTCAATTTGTAACAATTATGTAACTACAACACTTGTGTATATTCAACAGTAGAAGTACTGGTTGGTTTCAGCGACACTTTTTTCGAATTTCCTTCAGTTCTTTAATAATAGTATCAAAGTCTGGCCTGTTCTCTGGGTCTTCATCCCAACAACTTTCCATCAAATTCCAACATTTCTTGTCAAACGACTTGACGTACTCCGGACGAAGACCGTCTTTGCAAAACAACATTAAATCGTATCCCCCCTTTACATTGGCGTATTTTTTGGGGTTGACTCCCGATCCCTCGCAGATGAACCAGAGCAGTATTCCAAATGCATAGACATCTACCAATTTGTTATATTGCTCTCCCCTGATAAGTTCTGGTGCCATGGCTATAGGTGCGCCCACGATGGAGTCTGTGATGAGGCCCTCTGCTTTACTAAGTCCAAAGTCAGCAATTTTTACCTCGCTATCTTCGTCCAACTGAAAATGGAAACACAAGCAGTCTATGTTATGCATTTATTGTTGCAGAAATTGAGTACACTGACTTCATTCCAAGCTATTTTGTGATTCTGAATAAACCAAATAAATAGTTTATCAAATGATTAAATAGTAGCAAATAATCAAGTATCATAAAATGTAAGCTCACCAAAATGTTTTCTGCTTTAATATCTCTATGCACTAAACCGCAACTATGTAAAAATCGGATTCCCTTAGCAATTTCCACGGCAATAGACAGTCTATCCTTCAGTTGTTTGTAATGTGGTAACGCCTTCATCAAATCCCACTTCATTCGCGGTGTTACAAGGTACACATAATTATCGTGCTTTATACTGGCGATCAGTGGCAACATTCGATCGTCATTTGATATTTTCCTGTTAAATTAAAAAAACTATGATGTATGAAGATAAACACTCCTAATAATAAAGCCAATGTCACCTATAGCATCGCCACCTACGGCATCGCCATAGGTCTATTTATTTTTGTATTGACTAGCTGGCACTGCATATAACAATGACAATTACCGACTGCCAATTATAATATGATGTCGATTTTTGGCTCAGTATCTTAAAAAAGAAGGTTGATTATTTACCTTGTGTAGTGCACTTCCAACGCGAAATTGTCCATATCATTTATCTGTCTTGTCATGTCTACCTCCTTCACCGCATACGCTTGTGCGCCATTGGCATAACATTCACATTCGTAGACATCACTTTGGCTCCCTCTGCCGATCAATTTACCAAGTTTAGGCAACCCATACATTCTCTTGTCCAGTATAGAGTATGTATCGAACTCCAGTCGAGCTATTCGAGGGGCTATATCTCGAATGATGTGTCTTTCTTTTTCACTTGTACGAGATGACAGTCTCAGGATGTCGTCCAGTCGGTTGATCGCGATTTCAAAGTCTTTATGACAGGCATTAAGGTGGTTTGTTGCCTGGGAAACCACTGTCTCGGCTATCATGTCTATATTCACCTTACCAAGGATATCCTCAGCTGTAGCCTTTTTCCATTGCTGGTTAACATGGATTCGACCACGGGCTGAGTCAAATGGGTGCTTCATGATAGATAGGGTTTTTCTGGTAGCTTTCTTCATTTTCGATTTCCAGGTAGTTTTTTCCAGACGAACTGCATTCTCTACATCATATGATGACATTGTGCAATGCTTTAGGATTTCAGAAATGTCGTGATCTCCCTGATTGGTTTCTAACTCCTTGGCGACCAGCAGGATATCTTCAAGGATTCCATCGTTTGCCTGGAATGTACGACTCAACGTTGCGGCTATATTCGTGACGATTTTAGATTTCACAAAGTTTTCCATTTGCTCCTGACATTCTTTGATGATTTGATCTTTTGTTACAACTCCAGTAGTTGGAATTTCTATGTCAGTAAACGTACGATTCGCAGCGTCTTTCAGGATTTCTGGTTTGGCTTTCCTAATACTCGTTGAGATATCATCGGTAACTTCCGTCTTTTTGTGCTTTATTTTAGCCGAAATGCGTGAGTACAGTTTGTTTTCTCTTTCACGGCATTCATCCAACTTTCGAACAAACTGTTGGTGTTGCTCCTTAGACTTGGTTGCCCTTTGTATGAAGAAGTCAATGCAACTTGTGTGGGAACTTACCAAGATGGTACACGCTGCGCGTACAATAACATCTAACGATGACCTAATAAAGTCACAGAGACATACTTGGAATTTGTTGTAATCATGTATGAATTGCGATCGACCGGCGTGGTTTCCTCTCCGATATTCTTTCACGCGCCAGTTTGAGATGCCATGGAAACGGTTACAATCCTCCATGCTTACACCGTCTGGCAGGTATCCCTCTCTGACAAGACTGTTATATGCTCGACTTTTCTTCTCATAAACCACGTCCGCCTCACTCCAATCGTCATCATCATCGTCGTCATCGTCTTTATCTACTTTGGTAACAACGAAGAATATTTCTTTGGTTATTTCTTGCACTTTATTGATGTCTTCTCGATCCTGAAAGAAAATCACGAGATAGTATTATATAATGAATTATTAGTAAAATGTTAAATTACTCCCTGTGATACTGTCTCTAGCCAATTATTATAATAGTATTGTTAAGAGAAACTGTGCTACATTAAAACAACACTAACATTGATAAGTTTCCCGAGTGGGCGCGAAGCGGGTAAATTACGCAGGAAATAAACGATAAGTATACCATGAACCCAAAGGAATATTTTCAAATCAGGTTGTTGACTCTTTTCCGATTTCATGTTTCAGGTTCATTTGGTTTTTGCGAAGTGGTCTTTATTTTTTATAAATTTACGAAAAACTTGGCCACGGAGAAGGTTGGATTTGTAGATTTGACAATCGCAGGACATAGCTGTCTCAACCTACTTGCCCTACTGTCAAAACAGACAATTTACATTACCTGATTTGTGAGTTGGTTTTGCCCGTCGAGTACGTACACTACGAATGGAACGATGCTTTTCAATTCGTTCAACACCAATCTGTCTAATTCTTCATTCTCTTTCAGACCAGGCGAATCAACGACTTCAACACCGCTAGCCAAAAAATCGTTATCCACCTCAGCTGCAAGGTAGCTGCCAAGGATCTTCGGATCACGCCGAGATTTATCGTCCAGCTCTATCCATTTGCGCGGAATGGTTTTATTGACGATTCGCTTTGTGTCGATGACACTGCCATCCCGCGATATAACACTTACTTGCTGTTTCTTCCCGTAGTTCAGCTTCACTAGTCTAGCTGTCGCCGGTGTCTGTTTGGCACTAACGTAGGTCCCTCCAAGAAGGAGATTAATTAACGAGCTTTTACCTGAGTTTGTCTGTCCAATAAAAATCAGACTAGGTTTTCGCTCCACTCGTCCAATTATTTTTCTATGCCTTCTGCTTAACAATTTTACGCCGTCGTCCCGCATTGCCTGTTGCAATTTTCGTGAAAGAGATCTTTCCATACTCTCGTAACACCTCAATGTCTCGCTTTGAGCAGTCAATATTTCTTCAGAATCCCGTTTATACGCAGCACACGATGACTTCAGGATATCGCCAGAATCCCCCGTAATTGTACTGTCTATTGCTGCACCCTGGCTTGCACCCCGTGCCGCCATTTTGTAGGTGTTGTGTTTAGAAGCGTCTTAGACCAGCGGGGCAACGTAGGACTTGATTACTCTAAAGTCAATTCACGACCTTGTTGTTATGCACCGGTCCAGTTCTATACAACCGGTGTTTACAAGTTGACTCCGCCCACTTCATAACAGTGAAAAATGTCTTAAACCCAGGTCATGAATTCATGTACCGGATTTTTAATATCATTTACACAATACCTTATCCATTTAACGATTCAGAGAATTCAGGGAAAAGCGTTATTTATATCATGTTTTTTTCGCCGGGGAATTACCGTTCTCGCTGTCAGTACGATATAGTCCATTGTTTGTGACCCCTGACCTTACATCCTGAATACCCATTGTATTGTAATACATGTATAAACTCTATCGCCTTGAATTCAATGTAAAGAGGATTTTACACTGAGTGCAGCACGCTGCAGTAGACTGCTCAGTAGAAGCATAGTTGAACCATGGAAGGTACCAGTGGCGGCGGCACAGCGGGGGGGGGGGAGTCACCTCTAAAAATATGTTAGGGGGCGTCGCCTCTCCGAAATCAAGCTGAAATCCTTTGTGTCAGTAAAATTTGCCCCTCAAAATACAGGAAATTGCGTTTCATAGGGTATTGATTTCAAGTAAGGTCGCGCCCTGGGCGCGGGGTTGGTGAGCAGATCTCGCCACTCCATGTACAATTTCGTGTCGCCGCCTCTGAATTCGTACTCTTGTGATGTTTAAGGTGCACTATGAATCGGCTTTGTTGATCAACCTACTTGGCCGTCCCGTAAAAATACCGTTACTGAGTCCGAGGATGTGTACCATTATCGCAATGTCGACGGAAATTAATAATTATTATGGAAACTAATAATTATGGATGAAGAAATGCACTTTGATTGTTTACTTTTATAGGAAATTATTCATTCACATTTTGATAAATTATGATCTGCAGGTATTTCACACCAACACATGCGTGACCAAGTGACCATTTTAAATCTTCGGAGGCTGGAAACATTGAGTTCGGGGTAATCTAGTATGACACGACATTTTGTTTTCATTTTAAAATGATAATATTTGATTTGTGTCAAAAAGCGTGTTTTTAAATTCAAGTTCTTCTTTTTTATAGTTACCCCCTGAGAGTCCAAAAGGTTCACCCACTAAAAATAATCTACCACACACAGTTTATTGTTTCAATACATGTTAAGAGACAAACAAAAATCGAATATTTATATTTTGTTTACTTGCCTGGTTAAAATAGCATTCTCATTACTCAATAACATGTTCTAATATGTAAACATTTAATTGACTCACAAATAAACCAATATTCAACCTTGTTTCGTGAACCAAAAATGCTTGACCAATAATCCTATGTAATAGAATCGTGAAAAGAATACATATATGTTTCGTCGTGTAATTATTGAAAAAACCCACAAAACTTAGTAATAAGGTAAACCACTGAAGCATAATTATTTATCAAAGAAAGGCCTCATAATGTCTAGATTTGACTTTGCTATTTTGTACTGAGATTGGATTGTTTGTCATAACACCGTGGCTGTTTTATGGATGCCTATTCCCCAAATCGGAATTTAGGTTGTCTATGTTAATTGCAGAATTAGAATGACAATCTTACAATCTGCCGATTTGATGGCCCTTACTGACATTTTCAGGCATTTCCTCACCAAATTCTTCAACACCAAGAACTAGTAAAATTGATCAAAGCTCAAATAGCACTCAAATAATATTCATTCTAAAATTCGTAATTAAAATATACGCAAACGTCCGAAGAATGTACTTCTGAGTATATAATACGAACTGTGATATAGGTTTAAGTTAGTTAATATTCGTTGTTAATAAATAGGTTGATACACTTGTACAATTGTTGAGTAAATTCAATCTAAAATAATCTTGTGTTATATTCAACGAAAAACATTTCATGTGACCGATTTTAATAGTCTAGCGTATTATCTGTGTGTAGATAAATATACACTCAAGCTAAGCCAGACGTTTTCGTATTCCGACTAAATCCTTCACTATTGTGTCAAAGTCTGGTCGTTTCGTTGCATCTTCATGCCAGCATCTCTGCATCAAGGCCCAACACTGCTTGTTGAAACCTCTGTTCTCAGGGCGGAGCCCATCCTTGCATAAAAACATTAGATCAGTCGTCCTTCTTATCTCCGCATACCTACTAGGTACGCGCCCTGTCCCATCACAAATGAACCACAACAATATACCAAATGCGTAAACATCTATTGATTTGTCGTGA